CCGAAGGAAGAACTCGTCCACTAGTTTCCTAGCGACCGTGGTTGCCTCTTGGTTAGGGATTGGGTATGCCTCTGTATAATGAGTGAAGTAATCAGCCACCACAATAATGTACGAGTTCCCCGATGCTGACTCCGGGAGCGGACCTAGGATATCGGTAGAGCGACCGTTTGCAACTGATAGCTAGTGACAATGGGCTGGGTGTGGTTGTTGGAGACTTCTGCTGTGCACAAGCAGCACATTTGCGGCACCAATCTCTCACACTGGTCGTGGTGTCCAGGCCAGTAAAACCGCTCCTTGAGACGTCCCAGTGTCTTTTAGATCCCTAGGTGCCCACTCACAGCACCTCATGGAGGTCCTTGATTACCTCCTCTTGCAAAACCTCAGGGATCACTGTTTGGAGCTTCTCTGGAGAGCCGCCCGTGGGCTTTAGCCGCCGGCAGAGAACACCCTGATGTACCACCAACTGGTCTCAGATCTGAAGGAGGCGACGGGTTGACTTACTTGTTGTTGTAAAGCCCTCAGGACCAGGTCTGGTACCACTCTCCTTGCCCCGAAGGATGGGGGCTAGTGTCGGGTCTGCGAGTTGGGTTTGTTGGAGGCTATCACTAGCCTGAGCCGGAGGGAGCTGTAGTGCTAGCACTGCCACCTCGGCAGTGGTAGCAGTGTCGTGGTTGCTGCGGCCATATTGTTGGCATGGGAGCCTTGAGAGTGAGTCCGCGTTTCTGTGAGCAGTTCCCTTTCGATGCACCACCTCAAAGTCTAGCTCCTGTAGTCTCTCCAACCACCTGGCGAGCTGGCTCTTTAAAGTTTCGCAGCCAAGTAAGGGATCCATGGTCAGTACGGAGAGTAAACTTGCGGCATATGAGGTAGCTAAGGACGATACTGCTGAATAAATGTCACGAAAGCTAAGAGCTCCCGACGGGTGACGCAGTATTGGCGTTCTGGTTTCGTCAGCAACCTGCTAGCATAAGCGATAGCCTGCTCTCGACCCTCGTCATCCAATTGAGAAAGCACCCCACCGATCCCGTGTTACTCGCGTCGGTGTCCAGGATGAAGGGCTTCTGAAAGTCCGGATAGGCCAGTACCGGTGCAGAGCAGAGATGTTCGCGGAGCTTATCGACAGTTCCAGCATGTACCAGAAAATTGCCTCCTCGTTCTGGGGCATGGACCTTCCCTACTCGACGTTGTGGTCGGCAACTGTCTGTTCCCTCGTTGGATCTTCTCAACTTGCTCAGCTAGCCTCCCAACAACATGTACCAATTGCGTAATCTGGCTCACCGCATCGATGCTAGCAGGGGCAGGCTCTCCCGGTTCTTGGAGAGTGGAACTAACGGCTTGGGGGGAAGTATATGACTCCATTTCGAGAGTGGCGGCAACTGCATCATCTAACGTAGTTGGTTGCTTCTGCCTTACAGAGAAGGAGATCTGAAGCTGTGGCAGTTGGCTGAGGTAAGCGTTCAATGACAGTCGCTCGCGGGCTTCCTCCTGTAAATGCGGGTGAGCTTTGTCTGCGAGAGATCGTAATTCATCTGCAAAATCGGCCCACCCCTCCCCAGCCTTATTCCGCCGCGCCTGGAACTCGGCCCGTGCGTCTTGATTCAGGCTCGAATCTCTCCTTCAGTGCCTTCCGGGTCTCGTCGTAGGAAGAGACCACAGGCCCTGGAAGACGAAGCAGCGCCTTTTGAGCGCGTCCGGTAAGGCGGACCCGGAGCCACTGCAGCTTCTGTGTGTCGTCCCATCCGTTCACGGTAGAAACGTTTTTTAAATGGAACCACCAGTCACTCCAACTTCCCGTGCCGTCGAATGGTTCATGGAGTACCAGGGGTCGGGCTGCTGCGCTCCCCGGGCGTCCACGCTCTCCCACCGCCGGCGGAGGGTCGATCATCCCAACGCTGCCACCAACGGCGCCGCCACCACTGCCAGGGTCGGCCTCAGTCATCCTGCCGACTACGCCAATGTAATAGTGGCCGATATTCCGAGAGCGCTTGCTCGAACCTCACACCGCAACTTGATCATGATTCCCCCATACAACAGAAAATGACGGTATTATACAATATAAAAAATTCTTCGTGCTTTGTGACCATATAGGGCTTGATGCACTAGGTCATCCCTGTCTTGTCTCCTTGCTTTTTATGCATCCCTATATATAATATTCATTCCAAGAATTTTTTTATTTCCTTGTCTCCTTTCCTTTTTTTTACTGCATTCACATGCAATAAAAGTGGGATATAGCTATTTGGGCATAAGCCCATAAAAAAAAAGTAACATTAGTGGCCTTAAGCTATCGCCGCAGACGTTTTGTCGTCATTCACGTTACATCAGTGCACCAAGTTTCATTGTGAGAGGACCCATCATAAGCAAGTTATAGGCACTAAGTCTTTTTTGCCTGAGGCTGTTTGTTGTTGTTTACAACCTTGTAATTTCTCTTTCTCTTATCATGGTGAATCAGTGTACCAAGTATCATTGTTAGAGAACCAACCACAAGTAATTTATAGGCACAAACACCATATATAGTTTTTTTGCCTGAGGCTGTTTGTTGTTGTTTACAAACTTGTATTTCTGTTTCGATCAACTCTTATCATGGTAATCAGGGTACCAAGTTTCATTGTTAGAGGACCCACAAAGCAAGTTTATAGGCACAAACACCATTTACAAGTTTTATTGCCTGATGCTGTTTGTTGTTGTTTACAAACTTGTGAGTTATGTTTCGATGAACTGTCATCATGGTACATCAGTGTACCAAGTTTCATTGTTAGAGGACCCACAATAAGCAAGTTAGAGGCACAAACACCATTTACAAGTTTTATTGCCTGAAGCTGTTTGTTGTTGTTTACAAAGTTGTGATTTATGTTTTGATGAACTGTCATCATGGTACATCAGTGTACCAAGTTTCATTGTTAGAGGACCAACCATAAGCATGTTATAGGCACAAATACCATTTACAAGTTTTTATTGCCTGAGGCTGTTTGTTGTTGTTTACAAACTTGTAATGTGATGATACTAACGATGGGTTGCATGTGTACAGATTTTTTTATCACTCTGGGTATTAGCTTTACCTAGTTAGCACAGTTTATTTGTCTCTATCATAATGTATTGCCTGGGGCTATTTATTTTTTTTGTTTACATGTAAACAAAATAGTTTACGAAGAAATAAATATGCTCTTGCACGACCTGTCATGGATTCCAATATCTGTGCAAAGCTTCATCTCCATATCTTAAGTGGTTTTTGAGATACGCTTGTTGAAACTGAACAACAACAAAGAAACATTTCAACAACAACAGAAATGAAGACTTTCTTGAATAAATCAAGTACCGATTATGCGATTTAAGCCATTTCTTCGATACATGCTCTTTGTGACGATACGGATCAGTCTGATGTGTCAAAAGTTTGACCTGATTTAAACTGAAAGTGAAACACGAAAAATCTCAAATGTATGGGCATAATGCTGTCATCCCTATAATATACTAAGTACTACTATACTTAGTGATACAGAAATGTCTAGGTCTAGGCTCACTTTGCTTGCCAATAATTATTACACTGTCAACATAACATAGAGGGCCTCACCTTCACAGTTGCCTTCATTTATTTCATATCCAGTTGAACATTCACACGTAAAGCTTCCAGGAGTGTTTACGCATTCAAAGTTCACATCACAGTCATTAGGACCGTTTGTACATTCATCAATGTCTACATATGGAAACATCAACTTTAAGTCACAAGCCACTGTGACATTAACATGGAGGGCTCACCTTCACAGTTTCCTTCATTAATTTCATATCCAGTTGGACATTCACATGTAAAGCTTCCAGGAGTGTTGACACATTCAAAGTTCACATCACAGTCATTAGGACCGTTTGTACATTCATCAATGTCTACATATGGAAACATCAACTTTAAGTCACAAGCCACTGTGACATTAACATGGAGGGCTCACCTTCACAGTTTCCTTCATTAATTTCATATCCAGTTGGACATTCACATGTAAAGCTTCCAGGAGTGTTGACACATTCAAAGTTCACATCACAGTCATTAGGACCGTTTGTACATTCATCAATGTCTACATATGGAAACATCAACTTTAATTCACAAAGCTACTTGTGACATTAACATGGAGGGCTCACCTTCACAGTTTCCTTCATTAATTTCATATCCAGTTGGACATTCACATGTAAAGCTTCCAGGAGTGTTGACACATTCAAAGTTCACATCACAGTCATTAGGACCGTTTGTACATTCATCAATGTCTACATATGGAAACATCAACTTTAAGTCACAAGCCACTGTGACATTAACATGGAGGGCTCACCTTCACAGTTTCCTTCATTAATTTCAAATCCAGTTGGACATTCACATGTAAAGCTTCCAGGAGTGTTGACACATTCAAAGTTCACATCACAGTCATTAGGACCGTTTGTACATTCATCAATGTCTACATATGGAAACATCAACTTTAAGTCACAAGCCACTGTGACATTAACATGGAGGGCTCACCTTCACAGTTTCCTTCATTAATTTCATATCCAGTTGGACATTCACATGTAAAGCTTCCAGGAGTGTTGACACATTCAAAGTTCACATCACAGTCATTAGGACCGTTTGTACATTCATCAATGTCTACATATGGAAACATCAACTTTAAGTCACAAGCCACTGTGACATTAACATGGAGGGCTCACCTTCACAGTTTCCTTCATTAATTTCAAATCCAGTTGGACATTCACACGTAAAGCTTCCAGGAGTGTTGATCCATTCAAAGTTCACATCACAGTCATTAGGACCGTTTGTACTTCATCAATGTCTACATATGGAAACATCACTTTAAGTCACAAGCCCTGTGACATTAACATGGAGGGCTCACCTTCACAGTTTCCTTCATTAATTTCATATCCAGTTGGACATTCACACGTAAAGCTTCCAGGAGTGTTGATGCATTCAAAGTTCACATCACAGTCATTAGGACCATCTGTACATTCATCAATATCTGCACGGGTCAATAAAATGCAACTGTAAAAGGAGTATGCCATGAACTGTGATACATGCCTCTGCCTGTGTCTGTTGCCTTACTTGTACTGGTTATACTGATATTACGTACATACACCATGCACCAATACTGGTACACACAAAACGACCACTCATGCCACACAGGCAGAAACCTAGCCTGCCTTCAATAATTGATCTAGCAGCATCATTTAGCATAATTTGGAGCAATGTTCCTCTGAATTAATAATCATCCTAACCTTGTCATCAACCAACAGTATCTACACTACGAGAATGTGCTTCTGATACCCTAACTGACATGTCTGCACAATGCCCTTATTTCTTCTTCTCAAATCCCCAGAGCTCTAACTACCTGCTCACTTTGAAATTTGAATTTGCCTTCTTTATAATTTCTCTGTAAACTTCATAATCTTACCATCTGTGCCAGCGCTTACGCGCTCATAAACTCTTATAATTGCTGAACGTGTTAGCGTGAGGCAACTACTCCGGGTTGTATTCTCGCGATATGCGTACGTGTCGTCACGCTTAAGAATGTCAATTAGTCACGCTTAGGTATGTCACTTCCGCCATTCGTAGGAAGTCTAGCTTCCGCCGTGCGCGCAGATTCGTAGAAATCTGGCTTCGCGCGCAGTCAGTAGAGCGCGCGCACGAGCGGCCTCAGTCGGAGTGTTTACGCATTGGCTGGCAGGCGCGAGGCAAAATATGCGCGTGCGCATTCCTAGTTATAATAATATAGCTCTTAATCTTTAATCCACCCACCTTACACACTGTCACATTCTCACCAACCTCAGCTTTCGTCACAGCTTTCGTACTACTTTCCAACTACTCTCTAAGACTCCACTTAGTAATTATCCACAATAGATACACATCTTAGGACAAATTTTGTGTGCCATATCTCTCTGGGGCATAACAGAACGGGCAAAACAAACTTGTTGTGAGAGGTTATTGCTACGAGTCAAAAAATATTAAAGTGTGAAGAGATGTAATGTGATGGGATAGGGGAATATATATGAAGCTCCTACACCAAGACCTTTCAACCCAACCCCTTTATATTTTGCTAGTACGTATTTACACACTCATTATCCTTGTACAACCTGAATGTGATTTACACAAACTGGTAAAGCTTCTCTAAATAAGCTCGGAGGTGGTGATTTAGGGATGGGGTTCTGAATGACCTAATACCTTCTGGCATCATACACCCCCCTTTATTCCCAACTATTGTGCTCTAATTCAAAATACTTATTCATCTCATTTTCTGCCCCAGAAAAGTAGAACAGGATCGAATAAAAGGGGCAGGAGATGAGTCTGAAAAAACTTTTATCCTTGTTCTGGTACAATTCTTACTGACAGGCCGACTGGTCCTTCCTAAATTCTAATATGACAGCCTAACCAGGTTGTCTGCAACAGCTGCACTTAAAGTGGCAGACAAGATTGGTGCAGTTGTTTCATATACCTAAACACTAGCCTAGTGCCAAAATGTCCGTGAGCTAATCTTGCTGAAACACCCTCTACAAACCCAAAAGTTTTTCTCAAAAGGACAAAAGTTGTTCCCATTGCGACAGCAGGTCAACTGTTGTCAGTGCTATAATAAGCAACATCTTTTGATGCTCTGATAGGGTGGACAGGGTTGGGCATAACTGCACAAAGCTACTTTTCCATGTTTAATGCTACTTCACATCACAATCACTGTCTAACTACAGTAAATCTCCTCACCTACACAATTGCCTTCATCCATTTCATATCCAGCTAGACACACACACTCAAAGCTTCCAATAGTGTTAGAGCAGGTAGCCAGTTCGTCATTACAGTTGTCCATGTTTGTCACACATTCATCTACATCTGCACGCCATGAGAAAACCAATGCGATTTTGGGATACGAAATGTGTAATAACTAAAAATTCTCTATCACTAAGTACGGTAGTACCTAGTATAATGAAAAGCACTGAAGTGCAAACCCTCGGAGCACTGTGCTGTGACGCGCACGCGTAAGTAAACGCATGCGCAGTACCACTAATTGATGAGATGGGTTTAGTTTTAGCTGTTACTCGTGGTCTCTTGCCAGCTCGTGCAGAGTCTGACGCGGGCTAACTAGTATGCGAGAGGCGATACACGCCCTGCGTTGCACCTTCTGGTGCCTCCGAAGTACGCAGAGCACTGACCGCGGTAAGCCATCCCCGTCCGTTGCGTATTTGCATATTAGCTTTTTCGCGCTCTAGCTTTGCAACGGAGCATTTTCAGAGAAAACCGCCTTTAATTTCTGACCTTCGTCGCCCGTTGGGTAGGTCGTATCCTTTGTGAGACGAACAAACACCCGAGAAGTGAGATATAGAGTAACAGACAGACAGACAGACAGACAGACCCAAAAAGCACTGAAGTGCAAACCCTCGGCGCACTGTGATGCACACGCGTAAGTAAACGCATGCGCAGTACCACTAATTGATGGGATGGGTCTAGTTTTAGCTGTTACTCGTGGTCTGTTGCCAGCTCGCGCAGAGTCTGACGCGGGCTAACTACACTACTAGATAGCATGCGAGAGGCGATACACGCCCTGCGTTGCATCTTCTGGTGCCTCCGAGGTACGCAGAGCACGCGGATCGATCAGACCGTGGTAAGCCATCCCGTCCGTTGTGTATTTGCATATTGGCTTTTTCGCGCTGTAGCTCTGCAACGGAGCATTTTCAGAGAAAACCCCACATATTTTCTGATCTTCGTTGCCCGTTAAGCGGGTTGTATCCTTTGTGAGACGAACAGACACTCGAGAAGTGAGATTGAGAGTAACAGACAGACAGACAAACCCAACTACAGTACCCTCGCTGCGCATGCGCGCCGAAGGTAATGAAAAGCACTGAAGTGCAAACCCTCGGCGCACTGTGACGCGCACGCGTAAGTAAACGCATGCGCCGTACCACTAATTGATGGGCTGGGTTTAGTTTTAGCTGTTACTCGTGGTCTCTTGCCAGCTCACGCAGAGTCTGACGCGGGCTAACTACACTACTAGATAGCATGCGAGAGGCGATACACGCCCTGCGTTGCATCTTCTGGTGCCTCCGAAGTACGCAGAGCACGCGGATCGATCCGACTGTGGTAAGCCATCCCGTCCGTTGTGTATTTGCATATTGGTTTTTTCGCGCTCTAGCTTTGCAACGGAGCATTTTCAGAGAAAACCGCCTTTATTTTATGACCTTCGTCGCCCGTTGGGTAGATGGTATCGTTTCTGGGACGAACAGACGTTCGAGGAGTGAGATATAGACTAACAGACAGACAAACAGACAGACCCAACTACAGTACCCTCGCTGCGCATGCGCGCCGAGGGTAATGAAAAGCACTAAAGTGCAAACCCTCGGCGAACTGGGCATGCGAAGTACCACTGATTGATGGGCTGGGCTGCTATTAGTATGCGTTTACTCGTGGTCTCCCGCTAGTAGCTCGCAGAGTCTGACACGGGCTAGCTACAGTAGTAGATAGCATGCGAGAGTCGATACATGCCCTTCGTTGTGACTTCTTGTGCCTTCAAGATACACAGACACAGAACAAGCGGACCCGAGCCTGTTCAAAATATAAGCGCATGCGCATTTTCCGCAGCGATAAAAATGGCCGACTAGCATTAGCCGTACAATGGCGGAAGCGCTCTAGCTCTGCAACGGAGCATTTTTCAGAGAAAACTGTTCGAAATTTCTGACCGTCATTGCCCGTTAGGTAGGTCGTATCCTTTGTGAGACGAACAGACACTCGAGAAGTGAGATTGAGAGTAACAGACACACGGACGGACGGACGGACAGACCCAACTACAGTACCCTCGCTGCGCATGCGCGGCGAGGGTAATGAAAAGCACTAAAGTGCAAACCCTCGGCGAACTGGGGATGCGGCGGTACCGCTAATTGATGGGCTGGGCTGCTATTAGTATGCGTTTACTCGTGGTCTCCCGCTGTCAGCTCGCAGAGAGTCTGACAGCGGGCTAGCTACAGTAGTAGATAGCATGCGGGAGTCGATACACGCCCTGCGTTGTGATCTTCTCGTGCCTTCGAAGATACACAGAGCAAGCCGACGCCGAGCCTGTGGTATAAGCGCATGCGCCTTTTCCGCAGTGATAAAAATGGCCGACTAGCATTAGCCGTACAATGGTGGAAGCGCTCTAGCTTTTGCAACGGAGCATTTTCAGAGAAAACCGTTCAAAATATTCTGACCTTCGTCGCCCCGTTGTAGAGGTCGTATCCTTTTGGGACGAACAGACATTCGAGAAGTGAGATTGAGAGTAACAGCACACGACGGACGGACGGACGGACAGACCCAACTACAGTACCCTCGCTGCGCATGCGCGCCGAGGGTAATGAAAAGCACTAAAGTGCAAACCCTCGGCGAACTGGGCATGCGAAGTACCACTGATTGATGGGCTGGGCTGCTATTAGTATGCGTTTACTCGTGGTCTCCCGCTAGTAGCTCGCAGAGAGTCTGACACGGGCAATCTACAGTAGTAGATTGCATGCGAGAGTCGATACATGCCCTTCGTTGTGACTTCTTGTGCCTTCAAGATACACAGACACAGAACAAGCGGACCCGAGCCTGTTCAAAATATAAGCGCATGCGCATTTTCGGCAGCGAAAAAAATGGCCGACTAGCATTAGCCGTACAATGGCGGAAGCGCTCTACCTCTGCAACGGAGCATTTTCAGAGAAAACTGTTCGAAATTTATGACCTTCATTGCCCGTTAGGTAGGTCGTATCCTTTGTGAGACGAACAGACACTCGAGAAGTGAGATTGAGAGTAACAGACACACGGACGGACGGACGGACGGACAGACCCAACTACAGTACCCTCGCTGCGCATGCGCGCCGAGGGTAATGAAAAGCACTGAAGTGCAAACCCTCGGCGCACTGTGACGCGCACGCGTAAGTAAACGCATGCGCCGTACCACTAATTGATGGGCTGGGTTTAGCTTTAGCTGTTACTCGTGGTCTCTTGCCAGCTCGCGCAGAGTCTGACGCGGGCTAACTACACTACTAGATAGCATGCGAGAGACGATACACGCCCTGCGTTGCATCTTCTGGTGCCTCCGAAGTACGCAGAGCACGACCGCGGTAAGCCATCCTGTCCGTTGCGTATTTGCATATTAGCTTTTTCGCGCTCTAGCTCTGCAACGGAGCATTTTCAGAGAAAACCCCACATATTTTCTGACCTTCGTCGCCCGTTGGGTAGATGGTATCGTTTCTGGGACGAACAGACATTCGAGAGGTGAGATGTAGAGTAACAGACAGACACACGGACATACCCAACTACTGTAACCCTCGCTGCGCATGCGCGCCGAGGGTTAATGAAAAGCACTGAAGTGCAAACCCTCGGCGGACTGTGACGCGCACGCATAAGTAAACACATGCGCCGTATATACAACTAATTGATGGGCTGGGTTTAGTTTTAGCTGTTACTCGTGGTCTTTCGCCAACTCGCGCAGAGTCTGACGCGGCCTAACTACACTACTAGATAGCATGCGAGAGGCGATACACGCCCTGCGTTGCATCTTCTGGTGTCTCAGAAGTACGCAGAGCACGTGGATCGATCCGACTGTGGTAAGCCATCCCGCCCGTTTTTGATTTGCATATTGGCTTTTTCGCGCTCTAGCTTTGCAACGGAACAGTTTCAGAGAAAACCGTTCGAAATTTCTGACCTTCCTTGCCCGTTAAGTAGGTCGTATCCTTTGTGAGACGAACAAACACCCGAGAAGTGAGATTGAGAGTAACAGACAGACAGACACACACACACACAGACCCAAGTACTGTAACCCTCGCTGCGCATGCGCGACGAGGGTTAATGAAAAGCACTAAAGTGCAAACCCTCGGCGAACTGGGGATGCGAGGTACCGCTAATTGATGGCCTGGGCTGCTATTAGTATGCGTTTACTCGTGGTCTCCCGTTAGTAGCTCGCAGAGAGTCTGACACGGGCTAGCTACAGTAGTAGATAGTATGCGACAGTCGATACACGCCCTTCGTTGTGACTTCTTGTGCCTTCAAGATACACAGAGCAAGCGGACCCGGTCGAGGTTAAAGCCTGTTGAAAATATAAGCGCATGCGCGTTTTGCGCAGCGATAAAAATGTCCGACTATATACGTATTAGCCGTACAATGGTGGAAGCGCTCTAGCTCTGCAACGGAGCATTTTCAGAGAAAACTCCACATATTTTCTGACCTTCGTCGCCCGTTGGGTAGATGGTATCTTTTCTGGGACAAACAGACATTCGAGAGGTGAGATGTAGAGTAACAGACAGACAGACACACACACACACACACACCCAACAATTACTGTACCCTCGCTGCGCATGCGCGCCGAGGGTAATGAAAAGCACTAAAGTGCAAACCCTCGGCGAAGTAGCTCGCAGAGAGTCTGACACGGGCTAGCTACAGTAGTAGATAGCACGCGAGAGTCAATACTTGTGCCATCAAGATAGACAGAGCAAGCGGACCCGGTCGAGGTAAGCCTGTGCTAAATATAAGTGCATGCGTATTATCCGCCAGCGATAAAATGGCGACTACCCGCATTAGCCGTACAATGGTGGAAGCGCTCTAGCTCTGCAACGGAGCATTTTCAGAGAAAACCCCACATATTTTCTGACCTTCGTCGCCCGTTGGGTAGATGGTATCGTTTTTGGGACACACACAGACAGACAAACCCAATTACAGTACCCTCGATGCGCATGCGCGCCGAGGGTAATGAAAAGCACTGAAGTGCAAACCCTCGGCGCACTGTGACGCGCACGCGTAAGTAAACGCATGTGCTGTACTACTAATTGATGGGCTGGGTTTAGTTTTAGTTGTTACTCGTGGTCTCTTGCCAGCTCACGCAGAGTCTGACGTTGGCTAA